AAAAAAAAAAAAAAAAAAAAAAAAAAAAAAAAAAATCTGCGAAAAAAAAAGGTTACGCAGAATAACAATGCAAACCACTTTTGCCTCAGACTGATGTCAGAATTCCTAACCAAACTTGAGTTAAAACTTAAAAGTCAAAAACTATAAAAACTTAAAAAAATATTTTAGAAAGTAACGAATTATTAATAAATCATTACTTGGGTATTAGTCATGAACTAGAGAAAACTACGGTGCAGTCAGGGTTTGAGTTTGTAGTAATTGCACTTGAGGCAAAAGGGCCGGTAATGCTGAATGTATATGACCTACGTTTCGGGTCCGGTGGAGTCGCGTGGGGGGGTGTTGTATTCGCGGGATTGCCTGAAGTGCAATTACAAACTGTTTTCGTGACCGCGCCGAAGTTACCCCAATAAACTATCATAGAGATATAGACCATGTCGGGAGCCCTGAAAAAAAAAAAAAGGGGCCTGAAAAACCCCCAAAACAATTTTGGGGGCTTGGCTCCTCAGTGGGGAAGGGTCCTGGACCCTTGTTTTTTTTTCCTTCTTTTTTTTTCTTTTTTTGGCCAGATCCAGGCCTTCCGGACCGGACGTCTGGATTCCGGCGGTCCGGACGTCCGGGTCGTAGCCATGGTTCAAACCATCAACCATATCGTTCAGGGACGCGGGACCCGATTTCCAGCAGGTGCTGCTCCCCACCCATAGATGGAGCCTCCCTGGGTACTATGCTAATGGTGCCCGCTCCTATCAGCACCACCCCTAGCACCACCACCTCCGGCAGTACCCTTAGAAAGAAAAAAAGAAAAGACAGGATCTTCCTTCCGATTCCTAATGAGGAACCCCTGTCGATGATTTGCAAAAGCGTCGCGAGGGTGGGTGGGCAAGCAGGTGTGGCAGCAGTCGATGCGTTCTTGCTGTTCAATCACCACGGCCTGACTGATGACACAGCTGGCAGTGCCACTGGTGAACAACAAGAGGGGTGCGCTTTGGGTGTACCGGTCCCAAGTGGGACCAATTTGTTTGGGGTACACCAACCCCACAGGAGAGCGGCCCATTTTGTGTGGCGACGGGGGGCTCAGGCAGTTGTGGATGATTGTTTAGGGCCTGCCAGGGGCTACGTCCCACTACAGACGTTTTACCACGCGGCCGTTTGGTTTCCGATCACGTGTGGCAAAAGGTGACACATATTGTCCGTCCAACTTCGGGGATCTGAACGGCGGACGAGATTTGGAGGTGTCCCGACCGATATCATTCTCTCTCCCCCAATGAGAGGCAGAGGAACTTTTTTTTTTCACCAATTTCTTTCATTCTTTTTTTTTTTTTTTTTTTTTTTTTTTTTTTTGAACTTTGCATGTGGGAAACCCTCGAACTAATTACCTTGTAGGGTGACATGGCACATTTCCGTACCTCCAAGTATAGTATGTTGCACACGTGTAAAAAATTCACGCGAAAATGTAAACAAGGTAACCACATATGTGGCCGGCGGCAAGGACGCAATACTAAGGAGGTCGTGAGGTGGGGGTGATATTGCATCGAAACGGCCCTTTTCTTTTTAAGGAAAATAGGAAGAAAGGGGCCGTCCGTCATTCTGAAAACGAAATGTAACTTCCTTCTGACTGTTCAAGGGCCGCGGATAACGGGACGTCCCACGAACTTGGGCACATAGAGGTTTTCGTACGTATTTGGGCTTGCATATAGGGTACGTGCACGGTATGGTGTCTGTTGTACTCCCGAGAAACAGACCACATACATGTTGACCGTGTTTTTTTTAGGAGCGATTGACGTTCCTTCTTTCCCAATCAGGAAAGTCGGCAAGAGATGCGGAAACGTATGGGGTCTCGTGGCAAGTCGGCCTTTTCCATCCGGACTTGCAAGCGTAGCACCCTCTTAAAAGTCGGGAGTTTGACGGCCCGTTTCTTCCTGCCACTGAGTTCCCCGCAACGCGAACATGTGGCCCCATGTCCACCCTCTGTTGCTGATGAGGTGGCTGCAGCTTTTCCCTTTCCACCAACGCGAAGAGCTTCGAATTCGTGACACAAATCGTTGTCACCAACAGTCCCCACCGCCACTCCACGCACGATGTCGTCGTAGAACCTCCAAGCGGTTTCAGCCTGCTGACGTGCCACTTGCACGTCCGCTTCGGCCGGCGACATTGCTGCGACGAAATTGTCATCCACAACCTCTAGATCCGACGAGATAACGACGAGTGGAGACGAATGTGGGAGGAGAGCCGAGTGGAAGTACGGGACACTACCCGAGCCTTGCATGCTGCAGTTCGAGACAGGGACGAAGCTCGGTCGAGGTGCGAGGGGCAGACTATCCCTTGAATCACGAAGTCTCTTGAGAACGGAACTTGCCCATCTCCGAGCGTGAATGTTCTCGAGGGACATCTCACTTTCACAAACAGATTTACCACAACGCATCGTGACTGTGATGCTATCACCCCTCTCCACTAAGTACTTGTGGACTCGTTCAACCTCCCTCTCCATCTTCTCCATTTCGTTCAGCACCGCACGCCTCTCCCTCACAAAGTCCCTCCCCACCATTGGTCCTTCGTAAGGAACTCGGCAGAACCCAACGATCTGTTGCAGCACAACAATGATCAAAGCAATGGACAGCAAGTGAGCAGCCCTTCGGCCTAAAACAGTATATGAATGGGCACCAAAATGAACGTCAGTACCCGTGCCGCAGTGGTCTGCTCGTGAGGCCCATTTCACTGCTCCCTCCGAAGCTCATACACGCGGACCACTTCTGCACACAGTGCATCTCTCACGGCCTGCCCGCGTTCGTGACCGAACATGAATTCAAGCCGTAGTCCCATACTTCCTCGTCCACCACGGGGACGAGGTGTGTCAGGGGAAGACGCATCAGAGAACTCCAAGTCCTCTTGCGGCATGTCTCCCCATTCCTGAAATAGATTGTGGAGAATACAACAGGCTTCGAATTCCAAACCCTCCCTCCTTATATCGGTCACATGCGGACGATAGAAGAACTGGAACCGCATCTTGAAAACTCCAAAAAAACGCTCCACGCAAGATCTCACTATCTTGTGGAGTGCATGGAATTGTTGCATGGCAGTCGTGAGATTCGGTTGCTGGCCGTAAGGAGTGACGATCCATGGTAGACTGGGATACCCGCCATCGGCAAGCAAGTACCCGCCAGGGACACCTGCAATTGCCGGCCTCTCACCAGCGAAAGGATCAGCAGGGTCGTCCAAGAACAGAGAACCTTGCAGACCGCGCCTGTACAGTGACGCCGACTTCGACGCACGTCCATCACCAACAGTCCCTGGGAATCCATAGCAGAAGTCCAGGATCTTCAGTTTTGAGTCCACCACCAACTGTGCTACAATGGAGAACCTGTTGAATCTTCCCGAACCATAGTCATCCCCATCCCTCGTGCGCGGCTTGTCCATATAAACACGGGTGCAGTCTATGCACCCCCAACAGTTCGGGAAGCCCAACGCGTCAAACAACTGCATTCTACGATGACGCTCCGCAAAACCCCCAAACCCAACCTTATTCCGGTAACACGTGATAATGGCCTCAGCCACCTCTCAGATGGCTCGGAGTCCACTGGTTTTGCCCATACCGTAGCCGGAACAAGTATGCCAATGCGAGTCACCGTGCGCCCACCTGTGGAGAGCATACGCCAATTTCTTCGCAGGATCCAAAGGGACCCTGAACTTTGTCACCTCCTTCTCCAAGAGGGGACCCACCTTCCGCAAAAGACGGTTGAATGATGACCGCCGCATGCGTAAGAGACCCAAGTAGTGGTCGTCCTCCGCATCATCACACGGAAGGAGATCCTTCCACAGACCACCTGTTTGCCGCATGACCCACCACCTAGGCGAAGCACGGGGCAACAGCTTGCAGACATCGACTATAGTGGGCCACAGCCAATAGTGGGCCACAGACAAAGCAAAGACTGTCCCCCACGGCTATCATCATATGCATCATCGTTGCCCAAGAGGAGGCCTTCGTTGCCGCTCTTAAGCAAACCCTGGAGACTCAGCGTCCTCTTATGGCATATGCTGTCCACAATGTCAAAACCATCCTCTGTCATCCTCCCTGCCATAGCCATGACTACGACTGCGAGCTGTTCCCGATCCCTTCTTCTCAACGCTGGCATGGTTCTATGAAGAACGTTTCACGCTAAGCTAACGGAAGGGCAATGCACAGACGTCGGCTCTGTCGTAGCGGGTGAGATTGAAAATGAAGAGAACTTTCACATGTGAAGGGGGTTAAAGGCCGAAGTTGTAGTGGGGGCGGGTGTTGGTTGGTGGTTGGTGGTTGGTGGTTGGTGGTGTACAGTGAGCTAAAAAAAAAAAAAACAGGCCGACGAAGCGGAGGGAACCGTTACTCAATCTCGGCGGCACTTGTTGCATCCGAACTATAGTTGGCCCGGGGGAAGGAACTTCAACTTCGCTTGAGGCGCTTCGGCACACCATTTACGAAGCGGAGGGCTCTGTTCCGGTAGCACTGCCCGAAATGGAAAGGTGGCGTTTTCACTCACCCCGGCGGAGGTCGTGAGGTGGACTTTAGCATTCAGCCACGATCTTGCACAACTCGTATTTGGACTTGTACTCGGAGATATACGGAAGTAATGTGCACAAGAGGGTCTACATGCATGTTTGGCGGAGTCCAGAATATGAGGCACACATGCAGCACCGGATTCTGCAAGGATCTGTGTATCACGGCCGCAGGGGCTTTTCCAGCGAGTGCCCGTGTCAGAACAGTGTTTTCTTTTTCTCATTCACGGAAGAAAGAAAAGCAAAAAAACAGCGAAAAAAAACAGTTTTCCTTACCATTTAAATGAGTAAAAGTAGTCACACAACGAATAAAACGTCTCTAGTGGGACGCAGCCCCAGGCAAGATTTGAAATGGCAGCTAGGATATCTTTTTTTTTTTTTTTTTTTTTCCTGGGTGCAAAAGCCCT